TGTTTATATTATTTACAATATCAGAAAAAAGCCACAGAAGAAAGAATAACAAGACTACCTATGTATTGAGAATTAGATATGATATATATATATATACAATAGGATAGAAAAGTTACTTACAAGGGTGAAAACATATTTTAACATTGTTAGATATCCAACTGTGAGGTCAGTTCCTTTTTTCGCAAACTGTTTAAAAAGATAAAGTGCTGTTAGTGTGTTAGTGTTTTGTTAAAAACAAAAAATCTATGAACTACGTTGTTAATAAAAAGAAAAAAGAAAAAAATGAATGCGACAAGTGCACAAAAAAAGGCATTTATATATAGAGCGTGTTTATAAGTACTTTTTGTGTACTATTTACAATAAAATAATTTACAACTAACTACTCGTTCTTTTATGAAGGCTGTTTAAGCATAGCTGCATGGCAAATTATATGCATGCATACAATACGCATACAATGTCATATTTATATTTGAGCACACCCCGTATTTGCACTACTTATAAAGATACAGTCCGTCACAAGCAAATTTTTATGTTAAAAAATAATTGAATGAGAATTTAGTTTTTTCATTGATAATCAGAGAAATGGAAATTATAATCATTAATTAAAGTTTGAGCGTACGTTGCAAGTCTACACTATTACGCAAAAAAAGCCACCCAAAACGAAAGCAGAAGATAATAATTGAAAAATGTGGAAGAAACAGAGCCGTATTCACCTAATTCCAACCATTATCTACTTTGAATGAACGAAAAATAAAGTTACAACAAAATTATGCCTTTAATAAATATCCAAAACTAGCCACCTACTGAATATTTTCTTCTATGTACAACAGTGATAACATAATATAATTAAAAAAAACTGTGTAGTGCCGTGATACACCCGGTAGAAACCTAGATTCTTATGCTATTTGAAAATTATTAATTAATACATCCGAATGCGCATTAATTTTTTGAATTAATATATTCACTACTATAGATAACCTCAAATTAATGAGAAAAAATTGTTAATTAATTCATTTTACTGTATTACATTAATCCTACAAAAATTCTTCCGAAATATTAATTAAGTTAATAATTTTAATCATTTCATAACGTAAAATCTACATTGTAGCTAGTTTTGGTAAGTAATGAATAAAATACATAAACAAGCACATTTACCCCACATATAAACGCCACAATGTGTCCCCTTAGCCTATGCGTCGGGCAATGACCAGCTAAAATGTAAAAACAGTATCTCATTGTATGATAATGAATAGTACAGTACTATAATAACTCATTCTTAACACTCTTTTATGTAGTAACCGACAAAATGTAATATTACTTCACTGGTCGAGGTGCCGGGACAGTTTAAAACAAAGGGTATAATTTTCCTCTATAATTAAACACATTGCACAAGCTGGAGCTTGCCTTGAGTAGAGAGTAACCTCCTTGGGGGGTGAGGCCCCGGGGGTTATCATGCTTTCACAGACAGTTGTTGATTATTGATGTAATTAGTTACTAGAAATTCATTATTTGCAGTTTTTTTTTTTTAGATAAAAGCCCGACCGGGAATCGAACTCGTAATGTTCCAGTTGGAAGACCGCCGCGTTAGTTGCGAGCTGCGTCGGTCTTCTCTAATTTGCAACGCATTTTTGTATTACGTATTAGAAGCGATTTTCATACCACACATTGCTACGTTTCACACCGAACAATCACAATACCTATTGTTATTTCAATGCTGGTTTTGAATGGTGCAACAAAAAAAAAATCAAAATTTCTTACCTCGAATAAGCGGTGGTGTTGGAAGCCAATTTCGAATCGACGGGTCCAATGACATATTTGTTCACGAATTTGTACTTTGCAATGGTGGTGTACCCCATTGAAACGATCATGTGTATGACCAGATAAACGCAAAATATGAGATAGAGGATCCCAATCAAAATTACGATCATTAACCAAAACCAGCTCAACTGAAGGTCGTTGACCGTTTCGATGACGAAATATGTGTTTATGCTAATCACAACCAGACTTAACAGGGTCGCCACCACCTTGTTGCCCCTGAGATGGCAGATGGGAGAAAAATTAAATAAAAGAAGAAATAGTAGAAGTAATGGGAAATAAGGAATGGGGGAGATAAAAATTGGGGCAGACAAAATAAGTAAAACAAAACACAGCCCTAATTGAATTTACGAAAGAAAAAACAAAAGACTGAGGAAAAAAGTTAGGGAGGCAGGTACACAAGTGATCAGAGGATTAAAACCAATGGGAGGGAGTAAAAAGAGATCGGCAGAAAGAAACAAAACAAGATTGGGGTCGTATTTTTGGAAAAAAATTGAAACGTTGAAGAGAAAAGTAGAGGAGACAAGTAATAACGTTTGGAAGTGGGAAAGAGAGTCAAAAAAGAAGGGAGGGAGTAACTTACCATCCATTAACGAACAGTTCTCCCATGATCTGGGGATTACTGGTAAATGCGATGGTCGGAATTGTTGCGAAGGGCAATTGAAGACTCATGACGGCGTTGAGGACGTCATTCATGCCTGTCAGGTCTTCTATTTGACTGAAGAATGCCAGACAGAATGTCGGTATTATGGCGATGGTTCTGGTAAAAAGTACTCTCTTCCATCTTGCCCATTGCAAATTGAGGAAGCCCTCCATGGTAAACTGACCCGCGTAGGTGCCTGCAAAAAAGGTATAGACAAACTTTTGGCATGCCAAAGGGGCCAAATAAAACCAAACTTCATCGTGTCGTTAGTGTCAAAACATTTTTGTTTTTATAAAAGTTTGGGACATTCTTTTTGGTTTATTGAAGTGTTGTCACTCTTAGGTGGGCAAAATCAATCGATCGAATCTGTTTTTGGGAAAAATTAAATGAAAATCTTTCCGTCAAGGCGCACTACGATTGATTAATATTCATTTTAATTCTTAATTATCGATAAGCCGACAAAAGTGTAACAATTGTTGAAGGCGATTGTTTTGTCTCTTTGAAACAAATAATGCTCACTTTGTGATTGGTCAATATTATTTTCATTTTTAATTAGTGGCGTTGACTTGCGATTGTTACAGGCGATTCGTCTTTGTTTTCGTCAAACAAAGGAAGACAATAACTGCGATTGGTCAATAATTTTATTTTCCAATTATCAATTACTCAACAACAGAAAACGGAAAAAGAAAAATCTTAGATTCTAGTAAAGAAACCAGTTGAATCTATACTTTTCCAAAAATTTACTTTTGGCAAATTTTGTAGTTACAATGGCATATTGTTATTCATTAAAAAAAAGGTAGATTGAAGAATATCAACGACAAAAATAACTTACCAGTCATAGTTGAACTCTGACCAGCTGCCAAAATCCCAAGTGCCCAAATATACATCGCTGCAATGCCATACGTGCAACCGAGGAATATACCACCCTTATATAAATCTGCACTTACATATTCGTTGTTATCCTGAAAATAAAAATGCCCTCAAATCTGAAATAAAATTACCCAACAGCCCTCTCTTTTTACATCAAATCTACAAATCTGATACGTCAACGGTAATTCGGACTACATACAATATGGCGGACGCTGGTCGCCATGACACTTGACTCAAAAACAAATGCCTGCTTTTACTACTGTATTGCATTTGAAAACATTTTAGATTCCAAAAATGATTAAATATTATACTTAATTATAGTAAGAATGTACAGTTTGCAACTTTTGTTTTTGTTTTCGCAAAATTGTAAACAATTGTCATGGTCAATTGACCGTGACGAAATTTTCGGTCTATTGATAACAACATTTTTCACCCCAATGATTCTGATACCGTATAAATAGTGACGTTCGGAACAACCCCAATCATTCCTGTTTTGAATAGTGCTCGAGTAAGTGATCAAGATGTTTTATGGAATATTTCCGATCGCCTTCTACGCCGCTGTTCTACAACCGGAAGTTGAACGTCTACCAACGGAAGTTCTGGCCATGGTGTTCAGGTAAGTCATAATTATTGTTTTTATTTAATTTATTATTATATTGCAATTGTTATTGTAAATATTTTAGTCGTGTATTTTTGTTTAATTATTGATTTTTTTATTTTTCAGATATTTGGACGGAGATTCCCTGATGAAGGCCGCAAAAGCATCTATTAAATGGAGAAACGTCATACTGGGGGATCCGATTCTAAGAAAGACTTTGAAGAATAAGTTGAGGGATGAAAGACGAATGAGGATGGAATTCATACTGAGACCTCAACTAGGGGTTAGAGTGGAGCGTCCACAAGAACCGACCACAAGGATGTTTGGGAGAAACAGTTGCACCAACAAGAGGGTTGTGGTGGAAAGAAGAAACATATTCGAACGACCGCTTCAGTTAAATGGGGCGAGCATGAAACGGAGGAGAGAGGACAAGTTGGAGGTTCCTCATAAACCAAAGAAGTCAATGAGAATGTAATTATTTGTTATATATATAACTATGTATAATAATAAAATGACTGTATATATGTATATGTATGTAAATATGTAAATGTGACGAATAATAATAATAAGATTTTATTAAAATTGAGTTTTTCTTATTTCGTATTAACAACTGCATACGTTATTTTCTGATGCATATTGAGCAAAAACATCTATTGTGGTAAAAAACAGATGGAGTATAAATAACTGCAACGCCATTTTAACAAAAAAGAATCATATAACAATTTACAATCAAATCAAACAGTTAAATTAGTACAAGCACGTTTAAAAATTAAAATACATAACCTAACTATCTCAAGGAAGATTAATCGTTCTTTAGTGGCGATTACAACAGTAAATGTTTTGTAATATATGTAGAATAAGCCACCTGCCAATGCGGCATCACACGGAAACTGTTAGAATTTAAATAATTTAAAACTTCACCGAGTTTTATTATAGAGTTATAAGCACTTACCGGAAAAATTGTACCATTTATGTAGGGATGACTCTCACAAGCTTGCCTCTGAAACAATAAAAAATGGCAATCTTCTTTTTCTGATCAAATTAAGAATAAGAAGCTAAATTAACAGTATGGGATGCTTACAATTTCGGAATTTTCGGTCCTGTACAGTCCGTGAGCGAAAACGGCGACAACAAAAACATTAATAATAAAACTAACGAAAAGAGCTATAATCGATTCAACAAAAAAGTACATGTTTGCTTCTTTCACTTTTTCCGGTTTCCTTCTGTCAATTTCACGTGATTTTACCAAAGCGGAATGAAGATAGAGGTTATGTGGCATTATAACTGCGCCTAAAACAAGCAAAAACAAACAATAGTCGTTGCTAAGCAACACATTTATTGCTTAGCACTCAATAATCGCTGCTAAGCAACGCGTTTGTTGCTATGGATACTTCTTCTGTTAAGATCTCGTTGCTAAGTTAAGCTCCTAATTGTTTTAACAACAATTAACGCAATATTATTCAAATTTCGCGCTATTAACTGTTACAATTTATTAATTTTTTTAAAGTTATCCTACTTACCTACTATTCCGACAGCCTGTAATAGTGCAGAGGAATCACAGTCCTGACACCAGGGGAAAAACATACCCTTCATGACTAGCAATTGGTCTGGAGTTGAAATTATGTATTCATAGCCGAATGTGACCGCCATTACGCCGATAAGAAGTCCGAAAAATAGCTCTAATTTACGTAAACCATACTTGTCGAGGAATAAAAACGTGAAAGTGTCAATTATTGTGATAAGAACACCGCCCCATAATGGAATGCTATAATAAAAAAATGGAAAAAAAAAATAAATTAATATTTCCAATAATGTGAATTTTTATGGAGTTTTACAATTGTCTACTAAACCGTAATAATAATAATAATATTGGTATTATTAATATATTTATTTTCTATGTAAAATTCTTTGATACGGCCCTGTCTGATTCATTTACAAGTTGAAATTTTGGCGCATGCGCACATAATGAATCATTCTCGCGCCAGACACATTGACATTAGATTGTAGTTAATCTATAATCACTTAGAACTAAAAACTGTACTATTTAATTTACTTCTATTACATTTCTTTTTCTTCAGTTGTTTATTAATCAATGATTAAATAACTGCAAAATTATTAAATGGACTGGTAATGTTTGCTCATGCACCTAAACAATAGATAGTAAAGCGCATGCGTGGCCATTTTACATTTTCATATTTAACTGAACAGGAAACACTAGAACACCAGTGGAGGAAGTGTTATCCCGTTGGTCGGTTGTGTTGACGATGTGCACTAAAACTTGCACATGGCACTGTCATGTATTAATTGTGGAAAACATGTGCAGTATTATTAATGCTTCATCAATGTTATAAAACTAAAAGTTCAACGTTAATAAGCACTAAAGTTGTGGTTCTGTTTGGTCAGTTTTATGATTTGGTGTTCGTACTAAGTGTAGTGTTTAGCGAATTATGATTGATGGTATTTCGACACTAGAGTGCAACTTAACAGAAGAGTATGTGAATGTGAAATCATAAACATCAATCAGAAGTTATATATGAAGATTAATGGTAGGAATCTTGTAGGTTACGAACTTATAAATTAGGTATGATTTTCGTTAGATTGATATGTACAACGTAACAATAACCTTTTTCTATAAAAATATAACTATTCGTGCCAGTATGATTAGAACAATAAGTATTGTATTGTAAATTTTTCAACAAATTACGTATTATTTGTTACGGTCCTGGCAATTCTAGAACGTTCGTTAGGGTACGTCATTTCCTGTTCGTGCAGAGGTTTCTGGCAAAGTTGTTCGGTAGCCGCATGTTGTAGTGGGATGGCGGTGTTGTTTTGTTATAATATTAAATGTAGGACTAATTTTTACTATTTTAATTTATTATAACCTCAATTGATTAGGATATTATGCTGTATTAGCAATGGCATTGTTCCTTAATTTGTTTATTTAGTTGCAACAGTGGTTTAGGAAGTGTTTTGAATTTGTGCAAATGAATATGAAGTTAGCTGATACCTATAAGGAACGAAAGATAAAGGTATGCAACTGTAATTAACTATTCAAAAAAATTATGTGAATATGTACTCGTCTGGCTAGGTTAGGTTAGGTTGGGCTGTGTTGAGGATATATGATGGTTTGTCCGTATAAATTCGATTATTCGCTAATGGCTAGAGAGCTGTTAATAACATTGGAAGCATACTTTATTATTTCTTATTGTTAAAATTTAATCGGAGTACAAATTATGGGGCTATGGGCAAAAGATATCTTTCAATTTCGGAAAGTCATACATTGTACTGAGATAGGGGGCGTCATATGACGTCACAGACGTTTTCTCTTCTTCGTTATCGACTCTCTAACAACAGTCTTAATCATTTAAAACAGCCAGAATGAAGAAACGTTCAAACTGATAAGGTACGCTGGTCAAATCAGCACTTGTCCTATGCTGTTTTTAGAAATAGAACTACAAAAAACTCACGTTTTATTAGATAATAAATATAATGCGATGGCTGTGCCTATAACTTCTTGCATGTCGGACCCTATAATGGCAATTTCCACCATAATCCATAATAATAGTCTAGGAACCTTACGATACTGCCTGTAGCACATTTCGGCTAAATGTAACCCAGACACAACACCTAAAAATGAAATTAAAATTGTCACCATGCGTTTGTTAATTAAAACAAAGGAATTTTATAAAAAAACAGTTAAATAATTTTTTGTTTTTCGTTAATTACCTAATCGTGCTGCTAATCGCTGCATGACAAGACCTAATATTGTAGCACTTAAAAGTACCCATAATAGACGATATTGGGCTACAGTACCGCTCTGTAAGTCACTTTCTATATTACCCGGATCCAGATAGGCTATGGACATAAGAAATCCGGGTCCCGTGAAGGCCCATAATTTCCTGAAACTGAATCCCGTCTGAAACAAAAGCAACACTAATCGTTAGTTTTTTATTTTTCGACAAGGCAATGTCTACAGAATGATACGCCACTGGATACTTTTTACAGTAGGCGTTGAAGCGCTTTTGCTGAAAGCCTTAGAAGTGAAACTTAACAAGCAAAAGGAGAAACAGTAATTAAAGCAGAATGCGACCCAAAATCAAAAATAGATCTATTGGAAAAAGATTTTAGTTTAAGAGAGAGAAAAGAAGGAATTATTTACCGATCCAGTTTCGGGAATTTGGATTTTTTCATCGGCGAAATACGTTTGTTTGTTGACGGGACTTAGAAGGGTGTTTTCGGTTAATTTGGGTTTTGGTGACGATGTAGTGTCCCCAGAACCATTACCCTCCACATTTGGGTTGGACATCTGGAACACAATATTACATAAATTTATATTAGTAATAAATATTAATAAGACGGGAAGAAAGGGGAATTAAAAATATATATATCATGCCTTGTATATTTCTGTT